CCTGCCCGTGAGCAATCTCCCAACTCATCTCTGTCTAATATCAGAGATTTCTGATAGGGCCTCGCGCACTCACGATGGCTGTACCATCTACCAGTCGCCGTTGGCGGCTCACGTACTCGTGATGGTAATACCATGCGGCAGTTGAACGTGGTGGCTTACCTACGCTTACCGACACTGCTCGCTTTTGATGGTAAAGGAAGAACACTCGTGACGCTCCACTTGACTTTATCTACTTATCTACTACTATTAAGTACATTGTTACCTCGAAGTCGACGTAATGCGCAGCTTTGGGGCACGCGTCGGTGTCATGTATGGAACTCGCATGCAGCGAATCTGTGTAATGCTAAATCCAAGGGTCATTGTTATCTGTTTATACTTACGGATGAAAATAAAAAATCCTCAGCGTTTTCACCTTTGTCCATGAAAGGGGTACTTGGTAAAAATTACAACTTCGAAGGTAATAAAATTAACATTTTATTTGAAAAATTGAGACATACACGTACGCGAAAACAATGGTAGCACACGATAGCACCGATAAAAATACAGATTAAAACGATATTTGAAGTTCAACGCGAGAAACCACTCGCGTGATCATAGATCTGTGGATCTCAGAGAGATCATTCCTGGCTGGGCGATTTTTTACCCAGCCTACCGAAGATTTTTCAATATTCTTTTTTATTAATCTTAAGAATTCATCGTGATATCTTCGACTGAGAATCGGCGAGAATGATGTTTGAGCGTTCGGCTCAAACGTTCCGCGACCGAACCGAGGGCACGTAAATGGAAATCGAAAAATCTCGGAATCAAGTAACGATGGGTAACGGATCACGTATTAAATAACAGAGTATGTCGATCGCCGATCGAGAACATTATCATTATATCCCTCTTTTTCGGCAATGATTTTTGATACGCAATTGTCGATTCGTCGACGGGCGCGCAGATTTTGACGTTTTGCTGGCGCGTCGTTAGTACAATCCGCGAATGTAAAGAAAATTTACGCTGTATCCGATATCTACAGCTGGTTCCTTTAAGTGGATGATATAATCTCAGATCATGTCAACGGTTCTCAAAAAATTAATACAACAATGATTGAAAATAGCTATCGTTAATAATAATGTCAGTTTAAAGTTTAAAATAGAATCAATCTAGAATTAAGAAAATATATTAATGCATGTTTCAGTTCTTGAGTTCGATGAAATCGTCATCTGTTCCTCTCAGCCCCTTTTACAAAGCTCACGTTAGAACCAATCGAAATCGGTCGACGTAATTCAACATGAATTTGAAAATACAGGTGTTTCCTTATTCTTGAGATCCCTATTGCGTATGAGTATTATAAAACTCAAGAGAATAATACGATTAACAAATTTTTACTGTCCTGTCACAGAAGTATTGTCGCAAATAAGTTTTTCATACATCCCCAAAATCAATCGACAGACCTAAATATCTCAACATGATCGTAATTATATTAAATTGCATCGGTTTTAATTGAATTTCCATGGATTCATTTTTCACTTCTCATAGAGGTTCCGAGGGTCTCCAGCACCGTAGTTTTGCACTACCTACACCCGGCTCCAGATGCAAACAGTAAACATAGCAATAACAGCAAATAATTGCGAAGGAACGTAAATACCCGTCGCTAAATATAACCTCGAGGTTTTTTTCGGGCGAATCTGTCACACCCTCGAACAGGGAACCTCCAAAGAATCAAAAACAAAGAGGCATCTTCGACCGCCTCGTACTTCGACGCGCCTCGCTCTCGATGGCGCTCTGAGCGGCTCGAGCGCGACGAAACAACACGAATAATTTCTTTGCGATATACACAATACGACGCTATAATATTTAAATACATAAATACGTCCAACGTTTTGTCATAGAGATAGATAAAGGAACTATGAAGAATTCAACAGTATCTCAACTAGAATTTGAGAGAGTTACGGCGTGAAGTGGCCAGCTAGTCGACAACTCGACTCGACCCTCATCACGTGATAACTCCACGTTGCGCTTAACGACGGCTCCTCTTGAGATCATTTACGGTTATAATCATCACTTTGGACGCTTCTGGTACTTCCTCTCTAAGAGCTATTCAAGCGCAACGTGGAGATCGACCTGAAAAGACCGTAAATGACAAGAAGCATCCAAAAGTCACAGCGCCGCGACGCCTAACTTGCCGATCGTACTCCAATGACGCCTCAAAGCAGATCTTTAAAGACATTAAGGTTTTGATGCTTGACTTCGTTTCTGTGTCTGGGCCGTAAATCACGCGTAACCATAAAAAGGAATCGTCTGTTCGGTCACCTACGTTTCGCGGCTACCAAACCAGTACGTGTCATCGTTGTAAGGATATTCTTGGTGTCAGAAAATTCTTAGGACCTCCAACGGAACACCCGAGGGAAGTATTATACATACTGGCTGGGTAGTTGCGCAAACTTCCCGAGGACGCTTTAGTCTCGAAGCAGTTCCTTCACAATGCAATTTTTTTTTCGATTTTGTTTTTTAGACGACTCCCAGTTTTCTAGGAACGGCTTCGAGAGCACAAGTCGACCAGGCGTGGTCGCGAAAATGTATCGCAACGCGCGTAAACGATACGAGTACCTCGGGGCTGGACGAAAGTCACAAAAGTTGCGAAAGTAATCCATTGGGTTAAATTCTAATCTAGGCGATGCGGGAGCCTAAAGTTAGGTTTACTAAGAGTCTAGAGTATACGCGCAAGGGCCTTTTCGAGCTACGTTATCTGTAGATAATCGCGTATCATATAAGAATAACCGTTGTTTCGCTTGCATTGGCTGCACGCGACATCGCGACCACTTTTAATACATTGGAAATTCACTTAAATAGGGATAACTTTGAAAACTAACACGGCAGCAAAAAGAAAACTAACGTACATTTTGATTTCTATTGTTTTATCAAGAAAAATTCTCACAGTTCTTCGGAATAAAAAACAACTACCAGATCTTTAATGAACTCGAGTTTTTTTTTTGTTCCTGGGAAGTTTAATTGTCTTGAAGATTTCCCAAGAAATTTATTATTATTATTATCTATTAGCTAATTACGTTTAGGAATGTCACGTGAGCAGTCGAGATGTCGAATTGCAACCATCATCTAGACCTTTTAAAAGGTACGGCGAATCACCGTCTGTTTAGCAAAAGTTGCTCTTGGCACTGTGATCGCTCTTCTTTCGTTTCTTACACAGGCTAACAATTACTCAAATCCCTGATTCAATGCTCAATCTAGCAAATCCCGACTCGACTCTACGAATTTGCATCATTTTCGTTGACCGAATATCTCGCGAAATCAATCCGCCAACTATACTCGTAGATTCATTTCTGCAACGAAAATGTCGTTTCCGAGTGTTTCCAGATGTCCGAAATATTCGTGCAATTTAGCCCACCATCGAGTATAATTCGCTTTTGGATCCAAAAAGAATTTAAATGCGATAAGTGACGGAAGCGTGCCATCCTCGACGATCTGCACGTCACGGTAACGCTCGATGACGACAAGAAAAGATATTTCTGGCATTGAAAATTCGTGATTCTCGATCCAAAGACTTTTGGCATGGCTCGATTGTTATTCCCGCGGCGCGATATCCCTCTGCATTCCCTTTTGGCACAGGTTTTAGCATTCGGAAAGAGACGACTAATTCCTAAGATTTAATTCAGGACGAGATCGCTACTTTCGGGACGCGCAAAGCTTTTTGCAAACGTGACGGGAGGCTCGTCGAGACTTCTACAAGGCCGGGAAATTCCATTTAATTTGTCAATCGAACGACCGCAAATTATCATTTCCATTGTTTGCAATAAATGTATCATAACCTCTAGACAAATTTAATCGGATTCCTTTTTTACCGAACTAGTAGTCGCGTTACGTTATTTCGATACAATTTCTGGCGACTCTCCGCTACTCGCATCGGTCACGTGACAAATTAAATCGAACCGGTCCTCCGGTGTTCGGCAAAAATTTGATTACACGTATCGGAAGAATCTCTGGATCGTCGTTGTCCCGTCCGGGTAGCGAATCTTCTCTTCCCGAAGAGAGATCTTTCTCGTTGCTTACGCGCGGAACGCCTTCATTCGCATCTCGGTACCGAGGAGCCGACCGACGAAGCTACTTTGTTGAGGAAGAAGACAGCAAGAGATCGGGATGAGCAAGGAATTCGTTTCGGACCCGCGGCGGGCGCTCACACCTGCTCCACGCTGATATCGACGGTTCTGACTCTGGAGGAGTCGGTAGGCAGGAGCTGGAGGCGTTCCGGCTCGGCGTCGAGCATGATGATGCACATGAAACTCTTCCCCGAGGCCTGGTCCCTGGGATAGATGGTCACGGGGGCGAACTTGTCGACAGACCCGTCGACGTAGGAGCAGAGCTTCCGGTAGACTTGGGGGAAGTGCCTCCTGAGGGAGACGCCCCTCAGTCTGAGCTGTCGCTGGATGTTGGTGAAGCTGATCTCGCGGGCCTTGCGAGGCGTGTTCTGGCCGTTGGTGCCGGGCTGGGAGGTGAGCACCAGGGTCTCCGGGGAGTCCATCTCGCGAGTGATATTGCACGGCGAGGAGGTCTGCTGGCGACCCTGGGGCGACGCCGAGGCCGAGGCCGCGGGTCTGCAGGAGGCGTCCAGGCGAACCTTGGCGCACCTCGAGACCAGCTGCCTCTCCCACCTGACGGGCCCGCTCGTCGGCACCTCGCTGACCACGCACACCGCCACGTAGAGGACCAGCCTGGTGTCCGGGTTGTAGGCCTTGCAGAGCCTGGTCGCCTCGGCGTAGAGCTCGGCTCCCATCTCGCTGGGCAGCAGGTCCGACCAGCGCATGTAGGTGGGCTCGCCCAGGTCGACAAATCCGTTCTCCACGAACTTCTCGGCGGCCTCGGGGCTCGTGAAGAAGCACTTGACGGCGCCGCGGCCGTGCGAGACGTAGCCCCGGCGGGCCAGGGTCGAGACGTGCTTCAGGGTGGCTGGGTCCTCCTTCGCGGATGACAGCACTTGCCTGCACAGGGTACCCGCCCTGGAGTGCAGACACGTCCTGCGGTGCCGCTGCCAGTGGGCCCTCCGGCACTCCCGCGAGCAGTACAGACACGTGCAGTTGTGACAGCTCTTGTAGGTCTTGCGTGCCTCGGCGACGCTGGCCGCGTTGTTGCACTTGTTGTTCCGACATCGCACCGTCTTCTCCGAGGACGCCGCTGCGGCCGCCGCCGCTGCCGCCACCGCCGCCCCGCTGTCCTGGGCGTTGTCGAAGGAGACCCGTCTGTGCCGGAAGTTTGCCATCCGACCGACCATCCGTGAGGGGATCGTGTCGCTGCCCTCGCTCTTCCGACGCACCAGCTCGCCCACGTAGTAGGACGGTCTCTCCTCCGGGCCGCCCAGCACCTCCAGGGCGCTCCTAGCGGACTCTGGAAGAGCGTCCCCGTTGGATTAGACCTAGGGACGGGCGCCGTCTTCTCGCCCGGGAGATCCGGCACCGTGCTTGCCTCCGATCGCTACGACGGCGAGGCAAAGACCGAGGACGAAGGCGGACGATGGCGGCCAAGCCTGCCCGAAAGTGTTGCCAGACGAGCTCGGGGAACGTTTGGGTAGGAGCGGTTTCGAGATTCGTTGGATGCAGAGAAAGGAACGCGGTGCGGGTCTTTTGCGTCCAGGGCTGCGGACCATTCACCGGTGCAGGGTGTACATTCCAGAATAGTGCTAGACGATGCATCGCGCTAAGACATATCCGAAAAAATTCGATAAAAGTCGAGCAGAAAAAAAATTGAAACGCTTCTTGCATGCGTTAAATTTGTATTTGTATTTAATATTTTTTTTTGTTGCGAAAATGATAAACGTGAAACGAATAGTCGAAGTTTAATTATGTAATTTGATTCGTTGTGCATGGCGTAAAGGCACATCTCTGAAACGTTTCGACGTTTATGATCTACGGAGAGGACATTTGTCAAAGTGTCGAAAAATACTTCATTGGTTTTCGGACAGTCGTTTATCGGCATTCGAATCTCAATCCTAGAGGATGTTAATGCACCAGACAGTCGTGGTAAAGTATAACGGATGTAATTCCTTGAAACATAGAAAGGAAAGTCTAATAATCGTGCGCAAAGAACGAATCGGACACCTAGACAACCTATTGTTTTATAATAGAAAAATATTTGCCTCGTGCACCGCCGCTTCGGTGGTTGTAATTTGACCGAATATAAATGTCAGGCTGGCACGAGATCAATATTTCCTAAGCCTGACATTTACTCAGTCTTCGCTGCCGAGTATCTAACTTCTGCGACTTTTACGTATTCCTCGTGAAATCTTCCCAAAATTTATACAAGCATTATCCTCGAATACAAAAATCGTTCGTAACTTAAATCAAGATTCTTAAGTCGCAATCGTGACGTCTTGCAGTTAATGGCACATCCGTAGAAGATAAAAATACCGCGGCGTTAATAGCTTCCAAGGCGCCATAAACGGGAACAAACGGGCCAGCGATCGTTTCAAAGGGGACGCGTCAGGAAAGTGGAAGAGAAGGGAGGAAAGCTCGAATCTCGAGACCCTGATCGGAATGACTGGCAACACAAAGGGAAGTTCTTCCCTCGTTTCCCGCCCCTCGCGATCTCTCTCTCCGTCTCTCCCCCGACTTTTTCGGCTGCCTAGGCCTCGACGCGAATTTCCGGGCAGCGCGAATTCGAGACTCCGTCGACGCCTCCGTCCTCGAAGCAGCGGCGAACGGCGGAGCTGGCGGACGGAATTCAGAACGGAAGGTTAAACGGGGCTGAGGGAACCTCGGAACGGAAACTTACATAGTCCTCCTACCTTGGAGGTCTTGGCGTAGGTCGCTACAGCTCTTCCCGGCATTGGCGGTCGCGCCGACGTTGGCTCGATGGCGGATGGAAGAGGATCCGGAGGCAGGTCCGGGCCCGGGGCTGGGTGTTCGCGAGACAGAGGGCAACCCGAGGAGGGAATCTAGAACATCCTCCAGGGTGGTAGAGCCGGGGCTAGGTTTGTTCCGCAGAAGAGCTGCCGCCGCCATGGCCTCCTCCGTATCGCTATGCTCTGACCCTAACGAATCGCAAATATTGTCTCGGGTCATGACACCTGCCGAGCAAGTCCGCGATCCCGAGCGACCCCGAACGCGCCCCAACGCACCCAGGGAACCGAGCGTCTCCTTTTTCCTTCTATTTACACTTACGTCTTAATGTCATTTGGAACAACTGTCCCGATTGCAATGGGAAACAAGCAACGACCAGCGATCTCCATCCAAAGCGTTTGCGACGAACGTGGACACAAAACGTCGACCGAGGTGTGGTGAGATGCTACCAGGCGTTTGCGTTTGAACCCTGGCACACGTGAATATCTTCCCAACATATATTGGCGGCACAACAACCGCGAGGAAGGTATTCGTGTCCGTCAGGGTACTCGTGCGTGCATTGGGAAGGAAGGTGCTAAAATGATCGCGAAACGAACAACACTCACCACGAAGGACGCAACTCGTCAAATCAAAAGTGAGGTACATCGGTAGGCGACTTAAACGGGGCACAGGTAGAAACAATAATTTATTTGTCAAAGGATACGTCTACAAAGAAATGATAATAATATCCAAATAATAATAAGTACGGAATACTTAAAGAAGCTCGCAAATCTCGCGCCGCAAAGCTCGGGACACGTCCGAATGTACAAAACATCATCGGTCTTCTCCACAAGGAGCTTAGCGTGCGTAGCTTGCGCTGGTAAAACGAATGTAATTATAATAAAGGTAACAANATAATGCGATAATAATAATGCGATAATAATCGTAATAATCATAATCATAATAATATCATTCAACGCATTTGCAACACAATAGTAACGGAGAGCACGTTATGTGGGTGTAATGTATGTATGCGTGTATACAGGTAAAGGATATACGAATAAACATAAATTGTGAACAACTATACAGTAAACGTACGTGAACGCAAGATCTACGTAATGTAATGGTTTAAAGTAAATCGTACGGGGGCGGGAGAGTATACTCGGAGCGGAAGAGAGTCGGCCGTACGTGGTGGGAGCAATATATGAAATGCCAAGAGAACAGAGAAAGAGGAAAGTCAGAGGGACGTAAGAAAAGTTATAAATAAAGTTGCATAAAAACTGCGCCGCTTAGGATAAGTCGAGGCGACCTTCTCGCTAAGACCGAACGACGACGAAGACCTTTGGAATGACATTGTCGTTGATACGGAGGGTACTCCAAGAAGAAGAGACCAGAGGGGGCAGGAACGGCAAATGGTGTCAGAACCGAATCGAGGATATTTGAGAAAATGCTTATTCCTCGCGCGTGGTGGTGCATCGATGATATTTTTCTCTCATTAAGAACATTGGAAAAAATATAGCGACGCGCACATTTCTTAAGATGAACGAGGAAAAAGTGTTTATCTTCAAGTTGTTATTATTCACGTTGCACCTCATTCGAGTGATCTGCTGGAGTTAAGAAAAAGTTGAGGAAGAAGATAAAAATTGAAAGATTGTAAGAATCATATGCCTCCCTTTGATAGTGGTTGGATGTTGCGATGCACCTGTGGGCATCGCCGGTAATAAAATCTTGCCGCCGGGTGGGCGTTAGCCCTAATCGCGTAGAATTACTCGATTAGACCGGTAAGCAACGCGTGAAATGTAGTTAAACGAGATGATAGAGCGTTTTCATACGAGCCGCATTAAATGGTCCGTTGCGACGTAGAGGTTGCAAACTTGGGAACAAGAGGCCTCGCAAAACGAGGAGAGCGCGTGCAAAGTTGGGAAGACTACACGGAGGAAATACTTCTAGCATATTGGTGTTCTATTGTTATTGGTGGAAAACCAGGAGAAAGTTCGATCATAGATAGTCTATTTTCGCAGACTTTTGGAAAAAGTATAAAATTTATCAACGGCACTGGTTTACCCTAAAATAATTTCGATAGCATGCGGCTTCGAATTATTGGTAACGCGGAATCGAATACGATAAAAAGAAGTTTGAGGAAGCTGAAACAAATTATACTTCAATGCTTAACGTACCTATATAATATTTCGAAAAGAAACAATTTTTTTATTTCATAAGCAATCCTTTGTAGAGTGTTATTTTGTAAAAGACATTCAAGGGTGAAGTTAAATTGCGACACTAATTCTACTAGCATGCAAATTATTAAAGAAGCACGACATTTGTATCGGGCTCTGGAAAAATTAATCGTAATTTCAACTGATTTCCACGCAATTCATTATGATTAATTTGATTCTATTTTCAGGCATTAGTTTCATAATCGCATTCGTATTAAGTTACTTTGCGGTGTATCTAGCAGTTGCCAACGTAACAAATTCTACCCAAATAACGACAAGAAATCTATATTTCCGATCGTTACTCTCTGAAAAATTTTATCTTCTTCAGAAAGGAAGAAATAGAGACCGTGAGAGAAAAAGAAACAGAGAGGGAGAGAGAAAGCGAGAGAGACGCATTTTCAAATTCTTATCAAATTACATCATTACATCAGCGGGACCGAAATACACAATACTCCGTACACATACTCAGTTAATATATATATCAAATATTATTCTCTCACCGGCAAGTTAATGTGTTAGTCCATGCTTTTGAAGTGAGTATCAAAGATCTATCATACCAAAATACCAAAATACCAAAAATACCAAAAATACCCTGTACTTTGCTCTCGTGCTTTGTTGCGGAATACTTCCTCCGTATGGTGACGCGGAGGGTAAAGGGGAAAGACATTATGCGGAGAAAATGGTGGAAGATGGGGGAAAATCGCTTACGAGACCTCGCCTCGTAAAGTAACACGAGCGAGAGGCGAGTAACCTTTGAAAACGGCAACATGCATAATTGCACTCCGTGCTTGGCTCAAGTAATGCGGTTTAGGGAGGACACGTTTAAGTGAGAAATGCACGGACAAGTGCAGGGCATCAGGAGAACCGACGTGAAAGTGCACCTTCGTCAGGTTGCCACCAAAGAGGAGTACATTAGGTCGCTCTCTCTTCGGGATGTCAGAAAGGTGTTCGGAACCCCGATTACCGGAAGGGCACTTTGTCGAGGGAAGTTGGTACTCTTGGCGCCGGAGTACCTCGAGAGAAGGACCTCGTTCCAGATGATCGAGAGGTTGAATCGCCGATGAAAACTTGGGCCCCGTATAAATGGAACCAAGCACCGTCTGCCCTATTTTAAGCAACGATGGCGACCGGTGGCGCTTACACGAAGGATGCGTAAAAATTATACGGAAAAAACACGCCGGGTAGCGCTACGTTTAAAAGCGGTCTAGCTAATTTCTTAACATTTGCATACATATAACGATTGTTTGTACCAGGGATTAAAACTTGAACGAGCATAAATACCTATTGCAATTCCCGCTGCAATTAGTTGACTGACCACATCGAAGACTAATTGCCGCATAGGCTTAGAATCTCGAACGATCGAATTAATCTTACATTATACTTCCCCGTATCATTCGCTTATACGTTGTCTACATTCAAAAGGGAGAGAGAATAATCACACGCGGTGAGTCAGATTTCGCATAAAAATAATCCCCCTCCTTTTCGTTCCCGTGCCCCCTGGATTCCACCCGCGCAAGTAAAACACGCAGGAGTTATGTACAAATGGACAACATTTAATCTATCGGAAACCACTGGAATCGATGATTTCGAGCACCTATATATTACAGCCGATACTACGTGGGCGGGCGCAAACGGGCGGCAACGACCGAAATATCCGAGATATTTCGTAGATGTAATTACAAACGCTGGTCGAGGTGATGCGTTTGAATCGCATGCATGCATGCGGTGCAAGAGTTCTTGCGCGAAGTCGAAGCGGGGGCAGCATTTACAGGGGTTGCGTGGCATCGAATGGGTATCCCTTACGAAACGCGACTTCCTCGATCGAGCCGTTTACAAATAACGCGATTTGTGCGAGGACAGAGAACTGGGAAACATCGACTCCAAAGGGCCTCACGGTATTTCGATCGCAGGTCTTTTCCTCGCGACTTGGACGAGCGCCCGGGAAAGAGAATATACGTCCAGGAGCGAGGTATTTCACCTGCTCCCCAGCAAACTCAGCCAACGCTTCTTAAACGAGACATCGTCTAGTCGAAGCGCGTTAGAGCGAAGTTTCGGGAAGCAGCGGTTCAGTGATCCTTGCCAATTTGGAAGTCACGCTCGGTTTCGGTGCCGCACGCGGACGTCCTCGGCCTCCGACTAGCTGAGCGTCGCGACGCCCCCAAGGCCGAGCGAAAACCTTCCGGGCGTCCCAAGGCGACGTCGCGACCAGGACACGTGGCTTCTAGGTGATGAAGGTGAGAGAGAGAGAAAGAGAGAGAGAGAGGGGTGTGGCTTTACAAGTTTCGTGAACACGAGCTCTACGGTGGCATCATGATCGGTAGGTGGAAAAGCTGGTCGAGAGACGGCACAGAGAGATGCGACGAACGAGAGGACGTTGTCATGCCTCGCACAAGGTGGTACACACTATGTCTACGCTCGCACGGCCGCTACGACTACGCACGACGAAAGCTCCGTGGGCCAAAGGAACAAGCAACAGCGTCCCAGGCTCGTCCGAGTGCTCGATAAAGGGGTCTGGGTCTTGCGGGGTCGACAAGGGTGGTCGAGGTGTCCGAGGTGGTACCGAAACCGTTTGAGTAAAACCTCCAAGGAGGTCCAGACCAGGTGGGCCTCCTCAAACGGCTCGTCTACCCGCGACTTATCGTCCGACCAGGCCTTCGGTCCCGATCGGGCGGAAGATCCGTTCAAGGATACCGGGCGCGCGACCGGAAATCCAAACTGGAAGTCGAAGGTCCGGGGGATCCGCTAGGCGAGCAGCAACTCACCCCGATAGTGACGCTGGTGGTGCTGCCTCGAGTGCTGATGGTGGTAATTCGCGGACGAGGACGGGGACGGGCAGAGGCTGGCCGAGCCCTGGTAGTGGCCCCCCTCCCGCGTCGGCGTCAAATCCAGGAAGAGGCCCGAGGTCGCCGAGTCGACGCAGCTGCAGGACTCCGACGCCGTGGCGTTACACCCCGCGCAGCCCTCGGTCTCCGTGGCCAGACTCATCGGCGTTTCCGGCGAGTCGACCGGCCTCGAGCCCACGAACGAACTCTCCATCCAGCACAACTTCACGCTCCCTGTGACGAAAGCATTCGATTTGGATTAGATTTCGAATGAGTGGACGAGCCTCGGTCGCTTCAAGAGCGTGTCTGAAAGCGCATTCACTATCTGGTCAACCGTCGGTTTCAGGCTCGTCCTCGGTAGCCAATATATCGGGAGACTCACAGGAATTATATACAGAAATTTAGTTCCCCGCGTATAATATTGTAGGTCAAATAATACCGTTAAATGCAAAATTACGTTCCATAACACATGCGTATATCCTTTCTCCTAGCATCGACTCGTTTACATATTAATTCGCATTTCCGTAAAACTGAAATCCGGAGGATCGATACATCGCAAAGTTAATACAGTAAGTTGGCAATTAATTATTGCTGGAGGCACTTCCAGGCGAACGATTCAGCGAGAGCCCGATGTGCATCGAGTCGATAGAGTTCCCGGGAATGTTAGCGTACCCGGAGAGGAAGCTGGTATCGAGCGTTGGATAATACAATCGACGTCGAGAGAGCTTTTCGGTTTCTCCTTCCGAGTTGACAGCCGAAAGGAACGAAGGTAAAGCGCCGCGTTTGTCCGCGGGCGAAAGCGAATCCGCGCAGAATTTCAGGGTAACCTATTTCCGTCCTTCACCGCGCCGCCGAGAGGGGTGCATCGAAATAGAAATTCGAGAGCGAGCTCGCGTATTCGGCTTTACGGTTCCGGGCGAGGCGCATCGACGAAGCAGACCCTGGCAAACAAGAGCCGCCTTGACAAAAAAGTATTTTGCATCGTTGACCTTGCCTCTCCCTTTCCTACGAAACCGTTCGCTTCCATGAACTCTAAAATAGTTGACAACCCCGAAGATTCGGTTTCGCCCCGGAATTAGTGCCGGTCCTTTTTCGCGAACCCCCGGACGCCAGGAGAGAATGCGATACGAAGTCGAGGAACAAAAACAAAACTTTCCGTCCTACTGCACCTTGACCCTCAGTCGCAGCCGTTTTTTTCACAGTAGAAAGGGCGAATTAGGGTCAAGGTTCCCGTGCGTACTCTTCCGCAGACTCCAACTACCCTCGACATTTGGGTCCTCAACGTGGAAGGGGGTCCAATTATCAATTGCATCGAAAATAGGATACGTGGACTTTCTTCTTTCTCAAAAATACTTTTGAAACGTAAGCACAAGTATGTTTACAAACTAATGTATGACTACTCGAGTGGAACCGTACCTGCCTAACTCCTCGCTTATTTTTAACCCACGTTATTCTTTAGTTTAATTATTAATCGATTCTGATATATTGAACTGCCGTACGGTACTCCAGGGACAAAAGGTAAGCAGAATGTGTAGAATTTCGCGCTCAGACGTCCAATAATGTCTATTGATCGAATTGAACACATCATGCGATACTAGTAATTTGTCCTCCATTCAGCTCAACGGGTTATCACAGTGTTTAATCAATCTCAATCTCAGGTGGATTGTCAATTATTGTAACGATTTTCGTTATCGGTTAGATCTTGAATACCTGGACACAGACTTATTTAGATACATAGTTACGGAAAGGATAGATGAGACGCGACCGCAAAGGATGAAACGGTCCGCGTGACTCGTGAGTACTACCTTGAACCATTCCGTTACCCTTGCTAGCTTCAAAAAAACTGTGATTAGTGTAAGCCAACAGATGGAGAAAAGGGTTAATAAGGCCCGAACAGGAGGAGAGTAAAGCAACAGAGTACAAACGAGAATAGGAGGGTGGAAAACTCAAAATTACCTTGTTCGCCAAGTATAATAGTAGTGGTGATGGTTGTGGTTGTTGTGGTGGGATGTTTTGCGGGGTTCTTTAGTGCTCACCTCTGGGGCTGGTAGATCTTGCGCCGCCCCTGTCGTCCCAGTCCTCGGCCCGAGATCGAGGCGACAATCGGCCGCCTCCACCTACCTCCTGGCCGCTCTGCACGTAGTGCACGATAGCAGAGGTCACCTCCTTTATCGAATTCCTCACTTCCAGCTGCTGGTTCGTTGTCTGCTGCTGCTGCTAAAATGCGATCAAATTAGTCGAAACGTATCGGGCGATATCGACAAAACGAGGCAATTGGTTTGACTCGAGCCTGACCTCCTGATTCGGTAGTAATATACTCAGATCTCGTTCAGAAACCAACAAAAATATTTTCCTACGCTAATAAATCGCTATATATTTTAAATCCCAAATTCATTTTCTGTCATTAATTCGAACGCTTTTCCAGGAACTGAGAAGTAGTCACGATCCACGGGGGTTAAGGAAAACGCTTCGTTGATTTTGATTCCTGATCGATATGTCAAATGTACCCTCCGTGACTGCGGTTTATTTAATGTAAATTGGCTAAAACTGAAAATCACGTCAGCGAAAGCGAGTAAGGGCCCAGCAGGGCTTGGTGCGGTGGAAACGAAGCCGGGAGTCGACGTTACCGCATACCACTGCCGCGAGTGAACACCTCTAGGAATGCGGAGAATCGCGTCCAGTCACACTTAGCCGGATACATCGAGATGATGTTGAAATTTCATCCTGTTACGGTTCGCCAGGAGAGCTGACCTTGTTTGCTGCCTGCAATTGCGGGAGAATCCCTTGAGCTAGTCTTTCCGCGGGTGTTCGTGGATTGGTCAGTCGTTCCTGGGAACGCCAGCCCAGATACGGCTGCCGATGGTTGAAGGACGACCTTGCCGAGCTTGCTGGGGAACTTCCGGCACTGTTGAGCAGGCTGGTACTCCATCTTGAGAAAACCGGCGGCGTGGGACTCGGACTCAAAAGGACACCTGCTGCGAACCAAAATTAGCTTCCATGTAATGTGTGCCTGAACTGTACGTAATAACACATTCCATGTTTAAAATTGATTGCAAAATGAAAAAGTGGATCAATCGACGATAACGTTTTCTATAATGATAAAATATAACATTCCAAAAATACTGCAACTTAATATAAATTATTTGAGACAATGACAGAGGTACGAAGTTGATGTACATTTCTGTGACACTGTTATATAACAGAACATACGTATTATCGAAAATCTGTTTACTAGTTTATAAAAAAAACTACTACACAATAAATATTCCAGCATAAAAGAGTGATTTAACTATTTTTTACGAAGGGTAAGGGTCACCCGACCAAATACATAGTTTTTAATCCTTTTAAAAACTCAATTGCCCCTTAGTCAACAGTATTTCCGTCCTTTTAATTAGAAGATAGACTTTTAACCCAACGGAAATGTTTAGAATCGAGTTAGGTGCCAGTTACTAAATGGAATCGTATATTTCGATTTAAGGGAGACCTCTGGCCAAGTAGGGATGGCAACAGTTGAAAGTGGATTAACCTGCCGAGCGTCCTGTTAGTTTACGGAGTAGGGCCGAGTTAATCGAATTAACTCTCCACGATAAATTAATTAGTCGCTTCCTATTGGTCGTTAGGTCGTCCACAGTTTGTCAGGCGAGGCGACGTAAACGAAATTGGACTGAAACTCGTTTCCACGAATCTCAAGTAATTTTCTTCTGGAGACTCATCCGAGATAACCGGAACCAGGCCTGATGGAACCCTACCGATGCCTTTGCTTCCGTTCGAAGATTCTGGTCGTACATTGGAACCATCGCGTACGAGAGTAAATCCATTATTCCATTATTAAAGGCAATTTGCAGGTGTTACATTGACTCCGGAATAATCTCTCCTTTTTTAATTGTCCCGACGTTCGATTTTGATTCGAGGCGAAATGCAAAATGCACTTACATAATAAGTTCAATAAACACCCTCGCGCCATACAAATGTCAAGGAAAGGATTAAAAAATCTTCCTCAAACACACGTACTATAGTTTGTATGGAATAACGACTGCAACCAAAAGTTTATCGTGCAGTTTGTCTAAAATACCTAAAAATGAATGATGATTATTCTACGTTATTCCCGAACGTGATAACAATCGCGCTTATCACAAAGGTGAGACCGACTTTTTTAAATGCCGACGGAGTGATTTGCAGTATCGTGTGTCTAGACGTGGTGTTCTCTCTTATTGTCAGCTTAATGCGGCCAGGCTCATAATCGATGCAGCATTCCTTATTTACGTTCCAACCAGGTATCCTCACGTGAATAATTGAGTCTCACCGGTGGTAGGTTGCCTATTAGAAGATGACGACAAGGACGACAAGGAGGTGGTCTTTGAGCCGAGGGCACGCCATCCGCTGTGCTGAGAAGCGTCTGAGTGTCTCTTCAATCGGAAACCATCGCGGGCGGCTGGAGAGTTTTTGAACCAATCCGGAACGTTCAGTCGCTGTAGAGACCTCTGCACCCTGAGCTCGTGTTCGCTTGGCACTCTTTCCCCGACCTTTTGCAACTCGTTCTCCGGTGGCTGTAAAACAATACCAAACGGTCAGACGCTGTTTCATCCAATTCAATTCGCCGCCTCGAGCATTCGTTAATCGAATCAATTAATTCTGACACACGAAACATGCAAATTTGCATCGAGAAAAATCGAGCCGATACCTCGACGTATTCAATTTTGATTGAATAAGCGGTACAATCAAGGAGAATAAATATTGCGTCCTTCGCGCGGAGTCTATATCCGCAGTATTTGCCCCGATTTTATAATGCCAAATTTATTTTAGCTTCTCTCGGCGCGAGTCCGTCCTTGAATATATGCACCTATTTATGCGCGCGAAGAACTTTAACGTCTCTAACCCCTTATTCAGAGGAAGCGTCCCTGCAGCGGCCTTCAAAATAAACAAGCTCCAATTCTTGAGTCGTTCAGTCTTTGGCACCTCGGCGACCTCTCGACCCTCTCGACCGCTTCGTAATTCCCACGATATTTCTGTTTTCGGACATCCGCTGTTTACCTTCAATTTACTTCGAACACGTCGGAAAAACGAGGGAATACGTAATTGTAATCTATTCTCGACAGTACCTCGACTCCTCGAGTACCGTACCGGGCCCGTCCCACTTTCGTTCGGGAGGCTTCACCTGATCTCCCTGGTGTACTTTCCGCAACGATATCTGGAATAATGGCGGATGCTCATCGATCACGGCGTCTTCTTTCTCGACCAAATCTTTCATGACGCGATCTCAAAAGATTTAGCGCTGGGATCGGTGCCGGACGATCTCTCAAAGTTGTCGGCAATAATGCGTGCCATGCATGCGTATGAATGCAATTCAATGAAATTCCCGAGGTGGCTAGGCCGAGGCAGTGTTGGGGTAGAAGAAACGGTAAATCTGTTTGCGCGCGTCGTTACCATGGATACCACTATAGTTTGGGATCGCAACGACGTGTAGCATGGTTCAGAGATCGTCACGGCAATAAAGTCCGTATTCTTCAATGTACGAATATTATTATCGATTGTAGTACTTTACGTTTCTTCAAAACTATACCCGTTTGTTCTTTTAATTAATAGCTATTTTATTTATATTTGCGGATTTGGAATCATGCGCCAATAGCAATTCAATTGAAACGAAGAGGGAGTACCTAACTAATGTTTCCTTATTTCTCGTTCAAATGTTCAGTCGCACGTACTATCATAGTTGTGCGGTATCTTATGCATAAAATAAAAATGTAGCAGAAATAAACGAAACACCGGAAACAATTTCGGTACGCCGCAGAATTCCCTGGAAATATTTGCTGCCCGCATTGCAGAGTTTTCACGGGGATTCATTGTCCCTTCGTGAATTTTGGTCTACTTTAAACAAGGCTTATCAGATAAACGTGTAAATTTGCAGGGGAGGGCTACAATTCGGGTTCTTTTTGAACCTCAAAAAAGATATGGAAAAATGTAGCCGAAATTGTTCATCTAGTCAGCGAATGTGCTTGGATGTACACCAAAATGGTATTCGTCACGGATGAATTTTGAAGGAATTTCCAAAAAAGAAAAGGAAATAAATAATTGGCAATGCTCGGTCGGCATGTGCGCAATGTCTGGTTTGCGGATGTTACTTCGCATATGTCGGTCTCCTCGCGCGGCTAAAAAGGCATGCGTCGAAGATGGCGGCCAGAATTATTCACGATGCGAACGTCGCCCGACTGCATCATTCGAAAGCACTGGTGCATCGGCGTGCCTCGGCACGTTGGCGGCCACAAATGCCCCTGAACGACGCCGGGCGTCGCGTGATTAGCCGAGAACAAAGTTCTAACGGGATCCTCGACAAAAACAAAGGGACCGCGTGGTTGGCCCGTGCACACACTCAATCGTTAGAGAAAGGAGTGGTGTGTGTTCACATTTATATACGCGCAACAGTCACGTATTATACATGCATACTATACCCGCGTCCGCTCATATTCGTGCATAGAATAAATTAATTAAACATTATGAACGTGAAGTATCATCAGCTTTCATTTGAAATATACAACTGTTACGGGATTTCGTTCGGCCATTCCGTGTTCCAAGAGATACCTTACATTTATGTCATAGATATATCTAGACAACGAATCCATGATCATCCTTGTAAATCCTACGAAAATTTTAGAGCTAATTCTTCATTTCTAATTCTCGCCGTTTGAAATTATGAATCTAGAAATTTGAGCTCCGAAACTCGTGAACAGGATTTTGGTTAAATCACTGCGTTAAATTAATTGGAAATAACCCGACAGAATAATTCATGTATACGTTATAATTCTCAAAATTGTTTATATGTGATAAATAAAGATGCTCCTTGTCGAAGAATTTTTCGTTGTCCTATATCGCCGTCAAGGCGCGGACATAGTGCACGAGGAACGAATGGAGTGCAAGTTAGCACTCTTGGTCGCGAACGGACGCGCATAGCTCGTGCCTGTAGACCATTGCATAATGACGCGTTCCTCTGCATATGATGTCAGTGCGCGTATGATGCAGCAGCAGCCGCGCGGCTAATTTTAATTGTGACTTCTTTATGCCGTCGACGATAAGAGCGGTGACGCCTTAATTGACGTAAATTAGGGATGCTGCACGTGCGGGCCCAGTGTGCACAGAATGCAGGCGAGATGCCGCTTTGACTGGAGCTCCGAGAGAGCATCGCTCACGTATCATGCATTTACCCGTGCAACTCGAGTGCCTCGGAATGCTAACATTCATTATGCGCGTCCCTCCATCTTCGACCACTATAAATACGACCCGAAGACCTGGTGCCGCTACTCGAGCGATCCCGGTGTCGCAGAGGTGATATTACGTCGCGGACGTATCATTTGTCGGTAAATAACGTATTGCGTAATCGCACTGATAAGACGTTAATAGTTTCCCGTAGTTTATTCGCGGACAAAATTCCGGGTATGTGGATATTACAGGGCGCGGGAAGACAAGGGATATGGAACGAAGCCGAATTAACCACGTCGCGTGTTGCTTGGACGTGGGTCATCAATTTTGAGGGAGTTCCTGGAAATTCAAAGGGGACGGTCGGTTGATCGACGTCACAATGGTAATTGTTGGCTCGATGTCGTTTTCAACTCTAATGCGTTCAGTTTCGTCACGAAGTCATCGAACAAATCTAGCATCGGGGTATTGGCGTTACTCGTTATTAGACTCATCAGGTTAGTGTTTTCGACGTTGTTTTAATCTAACGCCGTAAGTCAAAAGCAAGCCGTTCTGCTGGCTTGTCTATTTAGCTTTTGACATTCGGGAGTTATAAATACTATTTAGAGGTTCCTGCACTTCTGCACGTCTAGAAATACTTGGAGCACTCGTAAACTCGTTCCATGCCATCTTTATCGATCACCGTATAGTCTTTACAAAAAGGGTCTTATAAGAAGTGCAATCACAAAGAGAGAAAATTCTTTAAAATAGCTTCCATTTAAATAATCAGGTAAAAATTAATATCTTAACATTATGCCACTCTTTTCGAGCAGTGCCAGAAACATTGACTCAAACTTTCCTTAATTTCTCTCTAGGCCGGTATATGAGCCGGGTACGAAAGAAATTCCATGCTTACAAAAAAATTCCAAGGGGACGATAAAGAATTCCATTTCTTTCACATTATAGAAAATCTCGATCATTTATATTGTCTGCTTGAATTAGAGAAGAGTAATATTTTTGACGATTAAATAACAATATGCAATATTATCACTACGATGCATTTATCCATCTCTCAATTGGCCTCCTCACGATATAATTATACGTGCCAACATTGTAGTACTATTGTTCTAGGACTTGTGGCCTAATAATCGAACATTTCCGGCATAGCGGAAAACGCTGCGACCTCCAATCTACTGTAAACAAAACCATATTTTTCGGGAAACGTGCATTGCAAGAAGCGGTCATGCGACCTCCGGAAATCCTAACTCCGTCTTTCACGGGTCCGAGATGCGATCAAGTGGCGAGCTCACGCGAGACTTCTCGGTGAATTTTCGCACGAATAATAGTGGTTCGAGGCGGTACCATGCAGTGCCGATAGTGGGTCGCAGGGGCAGAGCGCCGTTCGGCACTTTAAGGTGTACACGGCGGCATCGGCCTAGACAAAGCTACGGATTTATCGATGCAGATATAAGGTGTATACCGTCGCAGAATCGAGTCGACCAACCTGAATTCGGCCTCAGGCAAGTCTCGCCGATTTATCTGCGAATAATAAATCCTCACGGTTTATTGGTCCCGGGAGAGTCCGAGGCGGACCCTTCGCGAAATCTAAGTACGGGTGCTTTTGTAACTTTCTACCAAGAAGTTGTCTCCAACCTGATCACCGAAGTGGGCCCACTCTTCACGGATTCCCTCGTGACTTTCGATTATCAGAGGGTATCCGAGCGACGGTGTCTGCATCACTACTGTGCAACTCTACGAACAGCCTACTTCTGTTTACAGAAATGTCAACTTCAACCTGTGCTTTTTATTTTTAGACTTATCTGTAGCGTCTATGATGACGTATTACAAATCATAAAATTTAAAAGTCTGACTTAATAGCAATTTTAATATATCCGAAATGGAATCAGACATCTGCGACATTTCAGAATGCAATTAACTTCAGATTAAGTTTCGTACGAAACAGAGGGGTGGGAGGGGGCTACATAAATATATACATCTATATTATATTATGCATTCTAGAATATCTGTGAACGTTATATCACGATAGACCAAGATAGCGAGATAAGGAGAAGTATCTTTATCGTTTTCTGCGAATCCGATTTGTATAAACCAAAGATTAATCTGCCAATAATATTTCCCGGTTGATACTCTATCGAGATCGTTATCCAATCTTCCTACCCCCGGAGGCTGTTTCCCTCTTTATCCAACCCTGCGCCCCCATATCGCTCCGTCTCTGTCACGGGTCTCGGTTCCCCGTTGGTGTGTCGAGTCCTGTCACGCGTGTGCCCGCATCGTTGAGTCGCAGCGAACATCCGCTTTGACGTTCGACCCACTTCACTTGCAGTACCCTCTCCCCTGGAATAGTTTATACTTGCGCGTA